CACTGTCCCTCCTCTGGACATGTCCAAACCACTGTCCCTCCTCTGGATATGTCCAAACCATCGCAGTCTGGCCTCCCTAGCTTTATCTCCCAGTTGTTCAACCTGTGCTGTACCTCTGATGATCTCATTCTTAATCTTCTCCATCCTTGTCACTCCTAAGAAGAACCTCAACATCTTCATTTCTGCCACTTCCAGTTCTGTCTCCTGTCTTTTTGTCCATGTCTCTGTCTCCAGACCATACAACATAGCTGGTCTCCCCACTGTCTTGTAAACTCTTCTTTTGACCTTTGCTGACACCCTTTTGTCGCAAATCACTCCTGAAACTTTTCTCCATCCACTCCATCCTGCCTGGACTCTCTTCTTCACCTCTTTACCACACTCCCCATTTTCCTGGACAGTGGACCCCAAGTCCTTGAAGTCCAGCACCTTTGTGACCTCTGCTCCTTGTAGCCTCACTGTTCCACCTCCTCCCTCTCATTCACACACATGTACTCTGTCTTACTACGACTGACTTTCATTCCTCTTCTTTCAAGTGCATACCTCCATCTCTCCAAGTTCTCTTCCACCTTTTCCCTGTTCTCACCACAGATCACAATGTCATCTGCAAACATCATAGTCCACGGGGATTCCTGTCTGACCTCATCTGTTAGTCGGTCCATCACCAGAGCAAACAAGAAGGGGCTCAGAGCCGATCCTTGATGCACTCCCACCTCCACCTTGAAGCTGTCAGTCCTACAGCTCATCTCACCACTCCGTCCAAACAACTCATGAAATATTTGTGTCAAAGTCCATTTAAGGACCACTACTGTGTGAGTCCAAGTTATTTATCAGTAAATTTAAAGTGTCATACGTCACGGCACACAGACCAGCCTCTCTGATGTTTTCTTGCTTGTTTGCAAAACATATATAAACAAATTTTACTTTAATTTTTTTTTCGGCTGGCTTCGAAAAACTTCATACATCCTAATTTAAGGCATCTTTGTGAGTGTTGCAGCACAGTAATAGTTTCAGGTCATATTAGTCATTTCTGTTCTTCTGTTAACGTAATAAAACCCTTAACTCTGAGTTCTTACCTGAAAGGGCGTCTGCCCGCTGTTGTTCTTCATGTCTTTATTTGCTCCACGATAAAGCAAAATTCGTGCACAGCTTTCCTGCAACCAACAAAATTAATTATATTTAAAAAGCTTTTTTTTTTTTCACAGCCCTGATTTCATGTGGGCTTCATGAAATACCTTGTTGTATAAAGCACAGATGTGCAAGGCAGTGTTTCCAGAGGCATTCTGGGAGGAGGAATCTGCCCCGTAAAAGAGGAGGTGCTCCAGATGCTGCGAGTTGCCGTTCTGACAAGCCTGTGGAGCGACGAACACCAAAGAGGAGGACAAGAGGAGAAAGATAACAATGAAAACAATGAAAAACAAAAAATGTGTCAAAGGAATAAAAAGATGGACGTTTAATAACGAGGAGCAAATAAGGATAAAGGAGACAGTCATTTTAACTAAATATAAATGTCCACTTTTGATTGATTCTGCCATATTTTAGCTGCTGTTGCACTGTATTGTTTTAAAGAAAGCTAGTTAGTTAATAAAAACCCTAATAAAACAATAATAAAGTTCAACAATAGAAGCAGAAAATTAATTATGTGTAGATTTTATCTTCGTGTCAACAAATAAATCAGTTAAACAAGCTGAGTTAACTTTGTGCTCGTGCACAAACAGTCCATTCAAATAAAATACATTTTAAAAATCCAAATAATCAGAAGCCAAATAAAGTATAAATATGGCATAAAAATATTTAGTTTGAGATTCATCAGGTTTGAGATGGAAACAAACTGTTTTAAAAAAAGAGCAAACTAAATTCTCCTGCTGTTCGTGGGTCAATGGCTTCAGATGAATCAGTCGCTCGGTCTCCGCTCTCATCCTGGGAAGAGCGCTCACGTCTTTCATTTGCTTTCTGCCGACTTCCGTTACCTAAACTGAACTACTGGACGGCCTCGTGAACAGCGAGGTTCAGCCCAGAGCACAAAAATATATCCAAGAAGTCCCTGTTTTCCAGCCTCAGCTACGAGTCTGTCAGAGAAAAACCCTGGAGTTACATTTACTGACGACGACGAGGAGAAAAACTCCACAGCGTTTGGGATGTTAGGCTTGTTCAGCTGAAGCTTCCACCGTGTTTATCCCACACACACTGAGTCAAAAAAAAACTAAAATGATTTACGGCTGCAGAGCAAGTTGTGTGTTCTTCTATCTGGACGCACAGAGATGTGTGATGCACAATAGGGATGTGCGATATGGCATAAAATTCATATCCCGATATCTATTGTGATGGGTGGCGGTAACGATATATATCATGATATGTTTTCTGGTATAAAACTTGCAATAGGAATTTTTAAAAAAGCATAGGGTGTCATTTTGCCAGCATTTATCTAAAGAACTGATAAGTAGAGCCGTCATTTCTAACCCGAACTCGGAGCCCTGTGTCGGGCTTTTTATTGCGTCAGGGATACGTGCGGCCGACGATCTAATTATATGCAAACATGGCTTGCCATACCTTCACCAGCCACACGCAGCCATTTGATCACGCGCGCGGCCGACGACCCAAACAGGTGAGATCACAAAATATCCACCGTGTCAGAGCAGGGTTCAATGCAGGCAACAGCAGGGGAAGCATTTATGCGCTTTGAGAACTCCTCAACTCTGATCTTCTTCTTCCGGGTCGGATTTTTTGGACTTGAGTTCAACTCTACTGGTTATTCTCTGTACAGATCTAGTATAGAGCCGTATGACTGGGTAAATGAGGACAGATTGTTGTAAAGAGCTTTGAGTATCTTGATAAGGTAGAAAGATGCTATACAAGTGCAGTCCATTTACCACTTACCTTTTTACAGTTACTAATGTGCAAGCAAAAAAAACGGGCAACGCGCCCCAAACAGTTTCATAGCTATGTCCTTTACAGCTACGTTTTTATTGACTGAAACATATTTGTAAATTAGTTTTATCTTATGTTGTGAGTGCAACGTGCAATGTTACCAGGTGTCTGCAGAGCAGCTGACCACAATGCACGGTAAAATACTGACTTTGAGCATGCTCATCAGTAACTGTAAAAAGGTTAACTAACAAGCGCGGTTCGTTTCTTCCGTTTCTGCTTCTGGGAGAGTTATTTGTTAAAAATAAATAAATTCTAGCATTTGGTATTCGTTTCATTTTCCTGTTCCCTGCTCCTTACACCGAACTGTGACTAAGTACCGTTACAATCCTGGTGACTACCACATTTACTGTGAACCTTATGACTCAATTACTATCCAACACACACACACAGACACACACAACGTGTAGAATGGAGTTGAAGAGAGATGCTGGCGTGCAGCGTCACACTCAGATGGATACCTTTATTTTTCCTCTTGGCCTTGCCTGTCCACTTCATGGCTGTAAAATGGCCATTGAAGCAGGATGGAAGGATGAAGGGTGAGAGGTGTTCTGATTCATGGCATGAATGGGTTCTTAAGCAGACACACACTGGAACACAGAGAACACTTGGAAGGAATGATCCATGCACAAAAGAAACCAAAACCTAATGTATAAATCAATATATCAATAAAACAAACCAACTCTGAACGTTTTGCTCTTTTTCTGAACTTAAAATGTGCGGAGGAATCGTTTCAAACTCCTCCTCGCAGATCTAGACTTTACCTGATGCGTCTCGTCCCAGCCGTTCTCGTCCCTGATGCCCAGTTTGGCTCGGTGGTAGAGGAGAGTTTCACAGCAGGAGGTGTCGCCCCCCGTCAGCACAGTGTGGTAGAGCGGCGTCAGCCCCCGCCGGTCCTTATAGTCTGGAGACGCACCCAAAGAGAGCAGGACCTGCAGGATGAGACCATCGTGAAGTTTTCACTCCACCCCCAAAAAAAAAACTAGTTTGGAATTCTGAAACACTTCCTGGTCAAATAATGGTTCTTTTTTTTTTTTTTTAGCGTTATGCGCTATAACAGGTAAAAATCAAGTTGAGGTGGTTTTAATTTTTTAACGCTTTGATCAAAAAGCTGGCACTTTACCACAAGTTCAGGAAGGTGGTGCAGCAATTCAGATTATAAAAATGTGATGGTGTAGTGTGAAGGAATGCACATCAGCCAACACCTTTCATCCCAGAGGTTCAGACTCGCACCACGTTTACACCGAAGGTCTCAATACACAATTCAGATTGTTTGCCAAGATCTTGCAAATGGAGAGAGTAATTTAATCCACCCCCAGACACAAAGGTGGAGCCAGGGGGTGGCCAATGGTGGCCTTGACCACCATGGATTATTATTCGACTACCCCAAACATTTGAAAAAAACTTTACTTTGAAGCAACGTAAAAACTTAAATACAGAAAAACAACTGGACTCCTAACGTTGTAGCACACACAAACCTCTCACTCTGAATTATCTCTTACAGATCTGTACAAACATCTAAAACTCAAATCTGCAGCAGACGTTTTTTAATCCAGTCTTCTTTGTTCTGCAGGTTTTTTGTTGGTTTTTCCTGCTGTTGAATGAATGTTCGGCTTGTCTATTCAAGACAGATCTCACATCTTGCAAGTAAACACGATGTCGCGAGTTGGATTTTCTTCCTTTGTAGCGTGAGAAATGAAAACTCCTGATTTGTTTGAGGTTTTTCTACAAAAGACACAGAGGGGTGAGTGTTTACCAGCAGGGCGGTGTGGCGGTGCCCTCGAACAGCCTTGTGCAGCGAGGTGAGTCCATCTTTGGCACGGAAGTCAATGTGAGCCCCTCCATCCACCAGGACTCGGATGGGCTCACCTCCACCTGGCTCACACTGCACTGCCAGCGACAGAGGAGTCTCTGAACACAAACACACATTTCAGTTGTTCTTATAGAAACGCCAACAACACGGAGCGGTTGCTCAAAGTGTAAAAATAAATAGAAATCGATGAGTTGCAAACTTTACAAACTTATACTTTATTCTCAATCGTGGATCTTGTGAATCACTTGATCATAGTAAACATATTAAATATTAAAACTGAAATTATTTGTTGTATGTATGACGCAACGTCCCATATTTTCCAGATTTGGGGTTGTGGAATATCAGCAGCAAAAAAAAAAAAAACTCATCGTTCTGGACCATTCAGTTTTCATGTTTATAAAGTATTTTTCTCTTCATTGTCGAGTACATTTTGGTTACGATGGAGCTTAAATAATTAAAAGCCATAAAATTACGAGAATAAAAAGTCGTACAAGACTTTTTTTTTTTTCAGCGCTCGTTTATTTTTTTCCCACGAGTCGGATCCACGACGCGACCTGTCAACCAATCCAGTAAGCGTGTCAGCAAATGACCAATCCCAAGCTAAATGAGTCGTAATATTATCCGAACTCCGACACGATAAAGCAGGTTTACTGTATTTTAACTGTGGTAAAATGAAGAATGTTGAGCATCTTGTTAAGTTATACTTTGGTTTTACAAATAAGGAGACAGATTATCTATTATCACATCAACATCAGATTATTATCAGTATCAGGACTTTGAACCTGCTTACAGTACGGTGGTACGCTCTGATGGGCTGCAGCGCAGCTCTGCAGGTAACAAGCATTTAGCTTCAGATTGGTCATTTGCTGACACGCCTACTTTATTGATTGACAAGTCGCGTTGTGGATCTGATTTGTGGAAAAAAATAAATAAATAAAAGAGAGCTGAAACAAAAAAGTCTCATACGACTTTATTCTTGTAATATTCAAACTTTATTGGCACCTATTATTCTACACCTCGGAAGTGAGTTTACATTTCTATCTCCGTTAATGCGGCCCGAACCGCAGCGTCTACCCCCACAAAAGTTGTATCAAAACGACTGGCTCAGTCCCATGATGTGTGCCATTGCTTTTATCGGCATTTCAAGTTACCATGGCGACGTAATTTACAAACAAAGACACAATATTTCACCAACTCCAGGAACTAGTTGGTGATTGCCCACTTATTATTCTACACCTGAAAAGCGTATCTTTTTCAACTTTAATGCGGCCCGAACCGCAACATGAACCTCCACAAAAGCTGTATCAAAACGACCGTCCCGGCTCCGGGAAGTGTGCAATTACTTTTATTGGCATTTGCGGTTACCATGGCAACATATTTTGCTAACCAAGATGCCAAATTTCCCATAGGAAATGAATAGGAGAAAACTCTTCACAGAAACTGAGTAACATATGGAGCCATTTTGGTTCAATATGCAAGGAAGGCAGTGCATTATGCACTGCATGGAAGGCACCTATTATTACCCATTGTCACCTATTATTATGAATTAGTCATATTAATAATAAATATTAATTATTAATGTTAATAATTATCTATTTTAATATAAATAATTACTCATATTAATAAGTACTATTTAATATTAATACAAATTATTGGTGTGCATATTGTTAATGTGGATTATAAATTATTAATATTTTAATAATTAATACATCAATAATATATAAATATATTAATAATATTAATAATTAGTATGTATGATTAATATTAAAAATCCTTAATATTTTATTAATATTTATTATTAATAATAATTTAATAATAAAGAGGCAGTCCCCGTCAAAGTTTCTCCAGGAACTTTCTAGTTTGACTTTATTCTTGTAATTTTATGGCTTTAAAAAAATTCTTAGCGTGGCCCTAAAACTCCGTCGTATTTTGATATAGTTCATTTTTGGGATGGATGGTAAAATGTTTTAGTACAGTCAAATGAAATCAGTGAAGACCTGGATTAGGCCCAGTGATGTGAGAGTGCAGGAGCAAACAGCAAACTTTTTGTTTGTTTGTTTGTTTGTTTGAAAATCCAGAGGACCAGATTTAACTTTTTTAGATTTTTCTACCTTGATTATTGAGCATGCATCAGGATACAGGAGCAAACAGGTTTGCTAGATTAAGACTGTTCTTCTGTTTTCTTGTTGTTCTACAAGGAATGGATCTTAATTTGACTAAATTAGACTGTTTCTGAAATATCAGTGACTAAAGTAGCCGGTGTAAGATTATTTAATTACGCTGGAGAGCTGAGGTTGAAAACAGCTTCATGACTGCACTTTTTTTCTCAGATTACTGATTTTATAACAATTTTCTTTCATGTGTCAACAATCCCCCAATACAAATTAAGAACCGTTTACTATTTTAGACCCAGAAGCTCTTAACTACACAACAAAAAGTGGCAAATTGTAACATGTGGGCATTAATGGGCATGAGCTATACAGTGTGCAAAAATGTTATTTTAATTTTCTACAATCAATAAGAGCAGAAAATTAAAATACTCCCTAAAGCAAACCAAGACCTAAGAGAAAAATACTCAAGCGTTGATATAAGAACAGATTTAGCACCTTCCCTAGAGACTAATCTTTTTATAGAGGTTTTTTCCTGCAGGAAGTAACGTTACCTTCCTGCCAGAGTACAAGCATGTTGTTTTGTCAAATAAATGAAAGAAAAACACAAAAACTCAATCAAAGATTTATCTGCGTCACGACGCTCTCATTGCTCCCAGCGAAAAGGTTCAATGGCACCCTGAAGAGTAACATTTAAAGTGTTTCCAGTAAAACGTGGTGATGTGTGCTGGCTGTCATGGCAACAGAAGTTTTTTTTTTTTTTTTTTTTAAGGAATGACTGAAACTGTATTTTTTGATCATCTTTTGAAGACAAGATCTCACAGAAACATAATTTGTTGGAACGGCTGAAGTGGACTTCTGATGTTCAGGATGGAAACGAGGCGCTTGGAACGAGAACAAGACCAGAACTGACAGATTCATTTAGTTAGCTTTTTTTTTTTTTTATAACCACTCTGTTTAGAAAGCACAGACAGACTGTTACAAGAGAAAAGACAAATGTAAAAATTGTTAACAAGAGGGAAAAAACTCTCCAACTCAATTTTTTTTTACTTTTCCCTGCGTGAATATACATCTGTTCTGAGTTTACATCTTGATGTGACCACAAAACCAAGATATTAGAGTAAAAATAGAGAATGCAGCAGTTATCACACCTCCAAATGTTGCTCAGGAAAGATAACTGCATTCCTCTAAATAGTTCTACATGAGTTTTAATCAATTTTATTAACAAAGGAGTGAGTTTTAGTATTGCAAAACATGCATTTTCATTTTAAACTAAAATGCAGAAACACACTCCAGCTTCAAATACAACTTTATTTTTGCTTGTTTTATTACGATGAAAAAGAAACAACTCGCATGGAGCGGGAGAGTGATGCAATTTAATTTTTCATAAAACTAGAAGGCTTGAAACTGTCCAGCTTATTTCTAATATGCGGTTTTAAACTTATCCTGACGTCTGTTTTGTGTGATACTTTTATTTAATCGCAGTATTCACTGAACAGACTGTATTTATATGTGACTTGGTTTAATTGACACACGTCTCTCTTGAGAATGGGACTTGTGTAAAATAAAAATACATAAAATTGTAATTTCTATCCAGTGATCAGCGCCTCATTGTAACCTTTTATAACTAAATGTTTCCATTTATCACCTCTTTGTTACAGCAGGTGTTAGATCAGGATCCTCTGGTGCCCCCATGCGTCCTGCAGTGGGAGCGTGTTTCACACCCCTGATTACAGGCTGGGTTTGGTGTTTTGACACTTGCTCCCACAACGGCTGGAGTGACATCGAGCAACACGCCCAAGCTGTAAATGAGCCGTCTGCTGCGTCTCCTAAACAACAACAGGATCTGAGAAAAGCCGCCAAGCTGTGTAAGACATGACTGGCTCAGATCCTCCGCAAACTGTTGGGACTACACGCTGCAGGGCTGAAAACAGAAGGGGAGCTTTGCTGCTTGCAAACAGATTACAGGTTGAATTTAAACAAGTCGCAAAACTGCTGAAAACAAGCTGATTTAGCAGCTAAAGGCTGAGTGCACGTGGTTTCAGTGTGCAGCGATTTCTGTCAATCCAGTCCAGAAGTTGAAAAAGAGCCACTTAAGTAGTTTTTCTGGCGTTTAAACCACCTTAACCCATATTCAGATGAAAACCCAATGCTGATTTGTCATGGCTTAACTTTTTTTCTTTTTTTTTTTTACAGTGGTTAAAGATTTTTAAATTGGTGAACGCTTGTCCTTTGTTTGTTGTTTCTTTTATTTCATGCTGCTGTGTTCATTCGTACTCTGCTCACACAGACTCATGTTCGTGCTGCTGTTCGGCATATTGTTTTTGTACTACTAGCGCTTAGCGTATTTTTAGTCTAACGTTTTTCTTAGTTCATATCTTTGATCTTATTACTGTTTTTCTTTTACATTTTATACTTTTGTTGGATGTAACTGGGACCCTGTGAACACTATTTTGTTCCACCACATGTACCACATTTGGTGCGTATGACAAATAAAGAAACTATGACTTTTTCTATTTAACAATGTGCTTTAAGAGCAGCATCTGAACCTGTGGCTACCAAACATCTGGCCTGCTGTTATCAATTTGAATCTAGAAACTTTATTAAAACCTTATTAAGCCAGCACCTCACAGAGCTGATCAGCACATTCTGTTGAAAGAATGTGCTGATCAGCTCTGTGAGGTGCTGGCAGACATCTTTAACACCTCACTTACCCTGGAGACAGTTCCCACCTGCCTGAAGACTGCCACCATCATCCCAGTCCCAAAAAGCTCTACAGTGACTGGTCTGAATGACTATCGGCCAGTGGCCCTCACCCCGATAGTCGCTAAATGCTTCGAAAAACTGGTCATGACTCGCATCAAAATAACCATCAACATCAACGAGGACCCTCATCAGTATGCATACCGTGAGAACCGATCAACAGAGGATGCAATCTCCTCTGTGGTCCACACTGTGCTCAACCACCTGGAGCAGAAAAACTCTTACGTCCGTATGCTCTTTGTGGACTTCACATCCGCCTTCAACACCATGAGCCCCCAAACCCTGATGGACAAACTATCCACACTAGGACTAAGCCCCTCCATCTGCAACTGGGTACTAGACTTTTTAACAAACAGACCACAGTTAGTGAGGATCCACAACCTCTCCTCCTCCACCATAACCCTCAGCACTGGCTCTCCTCAGGGATGTGTGTTGAGTCCCCTCCTGTTTACTCTGCTCACATATGATTGTGCAGCTACCCACCCAGGCTGTCACATTGTAAAGTTTGCAGATGATACAGCGGTGGTGGGATGCATCACAAACAATGATGAGTCCAGCTACAGGCAAGAGGTGGAACACCTGGAGAGCTGGTGCAAAGAGAATAACCTTCACATCAATGTGAAGAAGACAAAGGAGATGATTGTGGACTTCAGAAGGAACAAAAACACCTACACCCCCCTGAACATAAGAGGATCTGCGGTGGAAGTGGTCTCCAGCTACAAGTACTTGGGTGTACACATGAATGACAACCTCAGCTGGAGCAACAACACCACCAGCCTGATCAAAAAAGCTCATCAGACTCTACTTCCTCAGACGGCTGAGGCGAGCTGGTCTGGGAAGCTCAGTCCTCACCTCCTTCTACAGGTGTGCAGTGGAGAGCATCCTGTGCTCCAGCATCAATGTGTGGCATGGAGGCTGCACAGCTGCAGAAAGAAAAGCTTTGCAGAGAGTGGTGAAGGCTGCACAGAAATCTGTCGGAATCAGCCTCCCCACCATCACAGACATCTACACCTCCAGATGCAGGAAGAGGGCCACCTGCATCATGAAGGACCCCACTCACCCAGCACACACACTTTTTGCCCCACTCCCCTCAGGAAGGAGGTTAAGGAGCATTAAGTGTAGAACCACTAGACTGAGGAACAGCTTCTGCCCTGAGGCTGTTAGACTCATGAATCTCTAACTAGAATAATCACTGTGAAAAACCATATGTTGCTGCTGATCTGTTTCATGTTGCTGCTGATCTGTTTAAATGTTGATGTGTTCATGCTTGCACATCCGCTCACACAGACTCATGTTCATGTTTGTGCTGATGTTCAATGTTTTATGTTATGAGTGCTTAGTGTATATTTAGTTGATGTTTTTCTTAGTTCATATCTTAGATGTTATTACTGTTTTTCTTATACATTTTATTGTTGGATGTAACTGGGACCCTGTGTACATAATTTCGCTCCACCACATGTACCACATGAGGTGCGAATGACAATAAAGAAACTCTGACTCTGACTTATTAAATAAAGGCATAATGATAACATAAACAGCATACTGCTCATTTTAATTCTAAAAAAAAAAGAAGTCATAAGCAACTGTTTTTTAATCAGTGCAAAATACCTGGAGATTATCTTGGGGGTTTCATGGAATTACCAATCTGAAGCACTAAAATAATCCAGTCATAAACTTTAAAGTATTGAGATTTAAAAAAATAAACTTGAAGTGGTCTAGATGCTAATAATAATAATAATAATAACGGTGAAATGTCTCTTGCTGTTATTCAGAAATACAATAGAAGTGTCAAACTGCATTAACTGAAAGATAATCCTGTCCAAATTTAAGATAATTTGAATTAGCTACTAGCTACATGCTAACATCCACCCAAGGAAGCGCGCAAAAAACTTTATTTAAATAATTCCTGCCATCTAAAACAGGCCAAACTCTAAACTTTCCTAAAAGTTCAAACAAGCACTAGCTGTACATAAATTAAAGCTGTCTGGATGGCAAAAAAATATTAATGAAAAATATATTTTCTCCACTGTCAACTTGGAGCAAAGAAGCTAACTTGGAGCAAAGAAGCTAACTTCGAGCATGCGCATTAGAACACGTAAAAATTAGCGTTAGCGCCAAAATTAGTTTTATCATGCTTTCAAATTGTATCTATATTTTATAAAGTGTAACATGTTTTACACCTAAAATGTACATTTCTCAAGACTTAAAGCAAGAAATGCGACTTACCGACGTTAATGAATCTAAGAAAAACTGTTCCGACACTGATGCTGCATTTAATGCCATTATGGGACAAAATGCTGCATTTAATGTGCATCGGAAATTAGATAATCTTCTGTAAAAAAATTGTTTTACACGATTCTGTCTGAAATTTCCTACTTTGATTTGTGCAATAAAACACCAGATGTAAAAATAACACTTTTAATGTTTTGATTGAACATTTTACTAAATACGGTCTCTCCGTAAAGGAAGTTTTCCAACTTTTTAATCAATTTTTTTTAATAAAAAAAGAACATGTTCACTTTATGAAAGTATTAAAATAATGCATGCCTGTGTCTAAATCATACTGTGAAAAATAAGTTATATATAAAAAAAAAGGGTTGTGCGGAGTGGGTAAAAGGAGTCAGTATCTTACCTACAGAAGACAGCATTGTAATCTCAGTGAAATTAACAAGGGCTATTCAGGAGAGAGGTGGCTTTCAATATTTGTGCTGCTAACTGTTTAAACACAAGATGAAGTCTGCAGCCTTATTTAGTTAGATATTAAAAAGAGCAATAAATGTCAAATCTGTCATTGTCCTCACCACCAGTGTCAGGATCCTGGTAGTTTGGATCTAGACCCTTGTCCAAGAACTTGGCCATCTTGTCCACAGCGCTGGTTTGAATGTAGTCCATAAATTTCTTCAGACTAGCCTGAACAAAAAGACAAAAAAAGAAACTCTAAATATCAGAAATAATACGGAGGATAGGCGTAAGGAAATGTAGAGCAACACAAAAACTTCAAACATGGCTGTGCTAATTTAAAGCAATGGATTCATCAAAGCTTTTGGCAGGAGTTATATTTTAAACATCACGTCTGACATCTCGGAGGTCAGAAACAAAGATTTTTCTACCTTAGTGTGAAGTTTGGCCAGTTGCTTCTCGTCCAGATTTGTCTGCTTGTAAACTCTGGTTTTATAACGGAACTAAAAACAAGAAAAAGAAAACTGGTTATTTCAAACCCAGAGGTTTGTTGTCCTCAATCCTCTGAGCTTCCAGCCCAGATCCATAAAATCAGGGCCTGGAGATGTATTGAGCAGACACGGGTCATCTGGTTCATTTTGTTTTAACCTTCATAAAAGAAAATAAATTATAGCAGTTAAATGTGATTCAGAGCCTCCACTGAGTTTAATACAAGAATACAACAAGATTATTACTTATTATTATTATTATTATTATTATTATGAGTAACCAACCTGAGAACATGTTTGCCGTTTCAGCATTTAAAACAAAAAAATAAAAGATTCTCTTCTGTAAATTCTGTTTTATGCTTGGAGTTTGAACGACCTCGTTTAAATCGTACAACTTTAAACACTTTCAGTGAAATATTGTAAATGCTGTTTTAAAGCTAAATGAGCAAAACACTAGATAAAAACTAAACGAAACAAACCATTAGCTAAAAGCAAAAAGAAGCAAAATACTTGATAAATGCTAAAAGAGCCAAAATATTAGCTAAAAGTTAAAAGGCCCAAACATTAGCTAAAAGCTAAAAGGGTCAAAATATTAGCTAAAAGCTAAAAGGAGCAAAAGACTAGAATTAGCTAAAATAAAAAAGGAGCTAAATACAAGATAAAAGCTAAAAAGAGCTAAATGCTACATAAAAGCTAAAAGGGCCAAAACCTTAGCTAAAAGCTAAAAAGGCCAAAACACTGGCTAAAAGCTAAAATAAGCAAAACACTAGATAAAAGCAAAACGAAACAAACCATTAGCTAAAAGCAAAAAGAAGCAAAATACTAGATACATGCTAAAAGAGCCAAAATATTAGCTAAAAGTTAAAAGGCCCAAACATTAGCTAAAAGCTAAAAGAGCAAAACTCTAGATAAAAGCTAAAAGGGTCAAAATAATAGCTAAAAGCTAAAAGGAGCAAACGACTAGAATTAGCTAAAATCAAAAAGGAGCAAAATACAAGATAAAAGCTAAAAAGAGCTAAATGCGACATAAAAGCTAAAAGGGCCAAAACCTTAGCTAAAAGCTAAAAGGGTGAAAACATTAACTAAAAACTAAAAGGAGCAAAACACTAGATAAAAGCAAAAATGAGCAAAATGCTAGAAAAAGCTTAGAGGGCCAAAACATTATCTAAAAGCTAAAAGGGCCAAAACACTGGCTAAACGCTAAAAGAAGCAAAACATTAGATAAAAGCAAAAAGGAGCAAAATGCTAGATAAAGCTTAGAGGGCCAAAACATTAGCTAAAAGCTAAAAGGGTCAAAATATTGGCTAAAAGCTCAAAGAAGCAAAACACTAGATTAAATCTAAAAGGGTTCCAACATTAGCTAAAAGGAGCAAAATTCTAAATAAAAGCTAAAAAGAGCTAAATGCTAGTTAAAACACTAGCTAAAACCCAAAAGGTAAAAGTAACCAAACACTAGCTAAAGGCTAATTAAATGTGTCAAAACGGCAGCTAAAAGTGAAGACAAAAACAGAGTACAATGTTAACTAAAAGGTTTTGGTTTACATTTGAGAGATGTCAATGTGTTTTCATAGGAAAATATTTGCAAAGAGAGTTATTTGTTTTGAAAAATTAAATGTATCTAGTTTTAAGTGAGAGGACCCATACTCTGAACGAGCTGAACATTTTGATGAATGAACGGGTGAAACAGCACCAAGTGCGCAGAAGCAGATTATAATAAGCTGTGGGGAAAATAAAAACAGGAACCAACAGTGGAAGTGCTGAGTCAGCATTTCAACGGTTACCGAAGTTTGAGTTCAGTCAAATCCTTTCACGCCTACAATCTTACACAGCAAGAAAAATATGTTGTAAAGTTTGAATTAGTTTTCGTCTGGGCCTTTTATCTTTTGTGTTTTACAGTAATTGTGACGAAGCTCAGCAGATCCCTCGCCGCTCTTTGATCTGAACTTTACGCCGGGCTCAGCCGTACCTCCAAATATGGCACCCCTTTTTCAAAGGACTGTGGGTACTCTCTGAGCAGCCGCTCCTCCTCCAGGAACTTGGCATCGTGTCCGTCGGTGGCGGGCTGGAACAGACCGTAGTTCAGGACGTCTCGCAGCGATTCGGTCAGGGAGCACAGCACCTGCTGCTTGGCCTTCCACACCGTGGCGTCGGGGTTGAACCGCAAACATTTCTGCAGAGAAGCAGCCGAAATAAAACGTTAGAGTCCGAGCAGCAAAATGACTTTTAAGACCCTTGAAGGAATGCATGTCGCCCGCTGCTTTATGTCAGAGTTAGTTGGCTTTAAAAGACAACAATGAATTACGTGAATGACTCTCAGCTACTACCACACCAGATTTTAGCTCAGTATCTCTAAAACTGACTGACTGAGAGCCATCTTTGTGATTTCCTACACTGGGAGCCATATTGAATTAGATCGACTCCAGAAGATGAGCTTCAAATGATTACTTTCAGAGAGCCTCACTGAAACCTGCAGTGGCTAATGAGATATTTTGCTAACAGACCGTCTTAACGATACTGCGCCTGCTCTGATGGAGATTCTCCGTGAGGTGACAGGATTATCTGTGACTGCAGAGGCTGTTCCAGCGAGGGGGTGGGGGGGAGTAAAGTGGGTGACGCGTGGTGGCCTTGGTCAGCAGAAATGATGCGAGCATCAGTTCTGCGCAGCTTCGGGTGTCTCCGGTGGGGTCATGAACATCCAAAACGCAGAACGGCCCCGAGGCCTGAGCAGCAAAGTGGAGAATAACTCACACACAGATGGCCGACAGACTGTTTCTGGCAGCACTCTCCTCCCATCCATTTCCTCCTCCTCGTCCTCCTCCTCCCCTCGTCCTCCTCCTCCCCTCGTCATGCCCGGATGGAGGGCCGCTGCTTTCTGACCTTGAGGCAGCCGTGAGCCGATTGGTCCAGAACGCAGAAAACTACTGAATCTGACTGAAGGTTTTGGGTTCTCACCTGTCAGTCTTTGCTCTTTCAGCTCATATTTATTTCCTTATTAGGGCATTATGTGTTTATTTATTTATTTATTTATTTATTAAACAGGAACATTGTACATTAATGTAAACAGAGTTAGCCTAAACTCAGTTCTTATTTAGCTTTAAAACTAATTCAGTTCAGTTTATTTATGTATCGCCAAGTCACAACAGAAGTCGACTCGGGGCACAGGAGCGTTCACGTACATTAAACTCGGTTAATGATATTTATCTAAGGAGCCAGCAGAACGCTTCGAGTTTCACCTCGTCACAGTCTCCCGTCCTGAGCGAGCACAGGCGCAAACAACTAACCGAGACGTTCCGTCATCTTAGAACCAGACTTCGGTCCCCAAAAGGACTACCAGTCCTGACCAAGTGATCATCGCCCGCTGAAGAAGGCGCCGACGCCGCCATAATGTTGTGTATTTGCATCGTTAGCAAAACATCCCATAAAACACTGGACAATTCGAATGAAACTCCCAGAAAGTAACCACTGGCTGTTCAACAGCTGACTGACACTTGGAGTCAACTCGATTCAAGATGGCCACCACGGCACATCCACCTTCATCAACCCAAAACGTCTACAGCTGACTGTATGTGAGAGGACGAGCTGAGGTTGATGTGGAAGTAGCTGAGAGTCGTCCTGAACGCACGCTCCGAGTGTTCACACTTCTAACAAGATGTGACAGCCGTGGCAGGCGGCGGGTGATATGCATTCCTCATAGGAACACTACACCTTTAATTATAACACACACACACACACACGAAGAGGTTTTGTTACATCACGCCATCTCCCACTTTTATTTTTCCCAGTTCCAACACAGCCATCACAGTTACCATGGCAACCGGTTCATTAGCGGTGCAAGCTGCTTGTTGCCATGGAGACATCCCCGTGTTCCCTAGGAGTTGTGGTACCGAGGCGCTGGCGCCTGTGCAGGAGGAGAAGTGTGTGTTTTACAGTAGCGTGGTGAAGCGGAGCAGAGTAAAACCGTGGGGGGGGGGGGGGGGGATTAAAGACGAGCGCCTGCTTGTTGTAGCTGAGGCCTCACACAACACGGGAAACACACACATAAGACTACACACTTACAGTAGCATGAAGCAGTGAGGTGAAGCTGATGGGGGGGGATTCACAGTCGGACATGAACTTAACGTTAAAATGAGTTCTTCATTTTAGATTTGTCTTCTGTGTCGAGCCCTCGCTTCTGTACCGCAGTGGTTAAGAGTTGTAGCCTCACAGGGAGAAGGCCACAGGTTTGCTTCCCGTCCCGGGGTCCTGTGTTTGGAGTTTGCATGTTCTCCCTGTGCACATGTGGGTTTTCTCCGGGTACTCCGGTTTCCTCACAGATTAAAAACATGCATGTTGGGTTAACTCTAAATCTTCCCTATAGGTGTGAGTGGTTGTTTGTCCCTATGTGTCCCGGTGATAGACTTGTCCAGGGTGTCCCCCGCCTCTCGCTCAGTGACTGCAGGAGATAGACACCAGATGTCCTCAACCATTAGCAGAAAAGCTGTAAACAGCGCCTGCACAGGCTGAGTGTGCAGCGCCCCCTGCTGGACAAAGACATCACCACGGACCCTGCAGAGACCAGAACCAAAGCACAGATACTTCATAAACTCAGAAATGACCAGGAATCTGAAAGTCCTGAAGATGGGTGAACGTGTCGAGGAGGAAAACAGTTTTTGTAAATTCTGATCATTTTGAATTTAGCAGGAGATGTGTTCGACGAACGCCTTCTGAAGATTTAAAACTGAAAGAAGTCTTTTTGGATCAATGTGTCCTGACCTAACCGTGCTCCTTCTCCATGTTTAAAACACGCCTCCGAAGGCAAGAGTCAGTAATGTTGTTGCCGACGTCTGTCTGCGTGGAGGTTTGTTCTCCTGAATCACAAAACTTCCAGCAAAACATCGGAGGGTGAACATCTTCTGGAGTCAAAATGGCCGTCACAAGATTTTGATCTTAGCAAACACAAAAGCAGTTTAACTTGGACAGTTTTAGAGAGACTGAGCTAAACGATGATGTGGTAGTAGCTGACCAGTTACTGTATTTTCTGCCGTACACGTCACACCGCCCTATAAGTTGCATCAGTCCAAATACGTCGAATAAAGTGGAAAAATCAATAAATACGTTGCTTCACCGTATAAGTTGCATCTATTATGCGTCACCGCTGACAACCAGGGATGAGGCCGATCTGATCTGGTAATTTACGCATCGGATTTTTCCGATACAACCTGCAGAGATTTCCAATCCATGATGCATGTCTGCGTCTGATGAAACTTCTCATGTGATTCCCTGCCTGCTCCTCTGCAAGTTGGCATCAAACTATGGAATGGATTTCCTGAACGGAGGCGTGTCTCATGAGCCCAGAGTAATAAGATCCGCCTCACTTTCAGGAAATCCATTTCATAGTTTGCAGCCAGCTACAACGTGAGGACTGAGCAGCACTGTGGCTAACAGCTAGCCAACTTTTCATGGAAACACGTCCGCTGCGTGAAAGTATTTTACACTAGAAACACCACAAAGCAAGACGACAACGTGCAATGTCTGCAGAGCCATAGCACATTAAACCGCGGTAAAGTTAGTTTTACGTTGGACATTCGAGCTCTGTGGCTTCAGCGGTCTGCTCCTCTCGCTGAACCCGTAGCAGGCAGCCCGACCCCGGCCAGCTGCGCCCAATCCGCCCCGCTCAGTCTGCCCCACGGGGCAAACACAAGGCTGACCGAAATGAGACTGCCCGCTTCGGACTGAATGAGAAGAACACACCGCTGAAGCCACGGCGCTCGAATGTTTACCGAGAAGTTGCTAAACTTCATGGTGATTAATGACCAACTGCTGTCAGTTGTAGAAAACGGGATTTCGCAGTTTGATACTTGCAGCCAAGATATAGTTTACCCTCCAGGAGATATTTATCAGTACAACAGTAGACAATCATAAAAAAGCATATGAATTGAAAATTACAAGAAAATTATATATTAAAAAAAACAGCTATATTATAAAGCGATGTAAAATACTGAAAACAGGAACATGTCTGTTGGTTTATGCCATGAACTTAGCAGATGTTTAAAGCCATTTAATATTTTTATTCATTCATTCATTTAAAAGAGACAATAAACAAAACAAATTCATCCAAAAAATAAAAATAAAAAATGAATGGAGTGTAGAGAGAAAAAAAAAATGTATATCTCCCCCTTATTTAAAAAAAATATATAATAACTTTAAACAATCACTTTAATATCCACTTTAAAGCTAGGAATTAAAAAAAAGCAAGTTTTGTGTTAGCAGAATTTAATTCTAACTTTGAAACTTATCCAACATTAATAAAACTTACCTCAAGTTGCCTTTTTGGACATGCGTGCATATATTTGTACAACTTGTACTTGAGAGGAAGTTATTACAGCCTCGTGTAAAATCAATAATGATCATGATGTCGGAACGGGATTGGTATCAGCCGATATCCAGATTTAGGTATCGGGATTGGATTGGAAGTTAAAAAAAAAATGTGGATCAGTGCATCACCACTGACAACCCAGAAATGTGGGTCAGTGTTGTGTCAAAAATCAACTGGCTATCAAATGGCGGCCATGGGAGCGTGCACGGGAGGACTTTAACAAGAATTTAACAAGATTAACACTTAAAAACAATTATTTGTTTGCTCGAAATTATAGCAAAGATGCGTCTCAGTTGAACTTTTACTTGATAAATGCACTTCAGTGGTCAAATCAGCTGCTTTTCACCGGGGCAGCGCAGCGAAACGAAGCTGATTTAACAGTTTCTCCAAGAGAGCTGGACGGCAGTGGCAGGCTGAGGCAAGCCGATTGTGTCATTAATAGCCACTTTTACCTATTACATTATACAACGGCATGCCATACACTCGAGTGCCACCTAGTGGCTGAAAATGTAAGTGTTCAATATTTTCAGTCAGAATGAATGAAAACATATCTCAGACAAAATTTGGTTTATAAATATGAGAAAAATCCATAAATATGTCGCTTCGGCGTATAAATCGCAGGGAATGCAAAAAAACACGACTTATAGGGCAAAAAATATGGTATTCATTACATGTAGTCTGAGCTTTAACACGTAACAGTTTTGCATGACTTGGCACGGAAGGTGGCGGGTGACAGGCATTTCACCAAACACAGAAGATTCCAGGCGTTTACTCGGATCATATTTCAATCTGAATATAAGGGTGAAAAAACAAGA